ATTTGTGGGTTCAGATTGAATTTTGTCTCCTCTCCTACATTCCTTGTGGCTTAACCCCAAATTCTGCCCTGCCAAGGAATGGGACAAAGGAGAAAGCTTAATCCTCCCGATAACATGACTGTAAGATAGGTAGATAGGTATTATTACACCCATTGTTACAGATAAATAAACTGAGGTCCAGATAGACTAAATATCCTGCCTTCCTCTTTCTCTAGCTGCTAGGAGGCAGAAGTGGGATATGAACCCAAGTCTGTGACTCTAAAGACATTAAACTCTCAACGGGGAGGGCAATAATACACAGTGGAATGCGAGCTCCATGAAGGCAGGATTTATACATGATTTGTTCACTGCTATACCCCTAGGCCCTGGAATAGTGCCTGGCACACAGTGACCAATAAGTATTTTACAATAATGAATGTCAACTTTAATGGAAGGTTTGGTGTAGTCAAAATGAGTTAGGAATAACAAGTTATTGGGAGCTCTATCTTACATCCCAGTTTCATAGAAGGTTCTGGCAGTGGAGAATTTGGGGTAGCATTTCATTATTCATGGTAGCCCCTTCTGGCTGTTTTTAATATATCCAGTTACTATCAAGACAGAGATTTGGGCCTTAGATAGTAGTTAAGTGAAAAGTAAATAAAATTAGGAAATGGCAACCTTAGCAGTAAAGTAAAATATCCATACAGACATACAGATTATAGTAAAATGATGCCATAGAAGCAAATACTGTCTTGCTCCTTGGTAGAGCCTGTGAGAAGACCTTATGGGTAAGAGAATACTGCCTATTTTCCTAATCAATGCAGCCTTTAATTTTTATCTAAAGATACTGGCCCTTGAAGCAAAAGGAACCAACCCTTCACTCAGCCAATTTTTACTGAGCACCTACTAGATGCCATTCACTGGGTTAGGCCCTGGCAGGTACAGAGATGCCCAAGGGATGGCCAATGGTCCTCAGGAGCACTGTCAAGGTCTTGGGACACCACCTTCAGGGCAGCTAGCCTCATCCAGGACCTTGCTTGGTCCAAATTGGCTCGTCCTTCTCTCCTCCCTGGTGCGTGCAGAGTCTACACCTTGCTCTAGGTCAGCCCAAGGGTCTCTCTCTCTCTCTCTCTCTTTACCCCTTCCCACCCGTACTCCTTCCCCATCCTCCACCCCCAGCTCCCTGGCCAACTGAGAAGGTGCAAGAGGGAATCTGAGAGAATCTGTGCTGTTTGTTTTGGGTTCAATGGAATCTCATTTACACGTGTTAATTGCAACTAATTGGCACTAATTGGATGAACAGGAAACCCTCTGGGAACACTCATACCTTTAATTTGTAGTAAATATCATTAATTAACATATGCTAATTAGAGCCAATTAACATTGATTAAGGATTTCCAGCTACTTGGAAAGTACAACTCTGTGTCCTCTTTTGGTTGCCTGAAGTCAGCACAAAATATGATATGTGAAGTGTAGGTGGGCAGAGGACAACCCTCTGGCTGCACTTCCAGGTGGGGAGGCATCACAGCCTTGGCAGCCCACACCTGAGCTGGGTGCTTAGCAAATGGCACGCTGCCCTCTCCTCCCTAGGGCAGCGGGGCCTGCAGGGGAGGGGCTGCAAGGTTAGCACTTCAGGGAATGGGAGGGAACAGACAGTGGGAAGGTCGGGTGTTGGGATGTCCTTCTCTGGGCCTGGCCCCTCAGATGGGCTCAAAGAGCACTAGATGTCAGCCTGGTAGGGGTGGTGGGGCTGCTGAGACCAGGCAGTGTTTGGACTCCTCCACAGACAATAGAGGTTGAGACACTCATCAACCTGCATCTTGTTTGGCATGCATGTGTGCACACATGCGTACACCCCTCCTCCATCTGACAAAGGTGTGCGAATGCTGCCCTCCTCTATCTGACACCTCCTTGGCATGACAGGTGTACAGATGGTGGGACCACCTCTGTCAGACATCTCCTTTGCCCAACATCTTGGGATGTTTTTACTCAAGACTGGGATGCTATTCAAACTATCCATCGTATTGGTATCAAATAAAAAAAAAATCATTTGCCTGGGAACCAGAAGGCTTTTAGGTCTGCTTCCAGTTCCATTACTAACTAGCTATGAGACTCTCGGAGTTCATTTAAATATATACATATACATTGTTTTAGTTTAGTCAAATTACATAAGAAATAAGTGTTTATTGCAGACAACCCCGCACCCACCCCCACTACCCGCTCCAGGGATTGCTTCTAAGGCCCGCCCTGCCTTTCCTTTTCAGCAATATTCACTTCATTGTTTCATGTCCAATGTCCATCTTCACCAACAATCTACAAGTTTCCTGAAAACTGGGTTCAAGTCTGGCTTGTTCATTGTAGCACTTCAGAGGCACTAAAAGTGCTGCTATTATGTTAAATAATATGTAGGATGAGGAAAAAATTTTTGAATGAATGAATGAACACATAAAACCATGTGCAACTTTGATCACCACAGAGAAAACAACATTCTGGATTTGTGTGTGTGTGTATCTATGCTTATGTATATGAAAAAAGTATATGTTACATATATAAAGTGCACATAAGTATATCTAGCCCAAAAGGCTTAGTGCAGTTTTTGCTTTAATAACTACAAAAGTGCTAAAACTTTAAAATCCAAAGAAATAATTTGAAACTTTAATTACTTAGATTTATTACACTCTTGTTTAGTTTTGTGAATTGTGAACAATACATTTTTAATTTTAGGTGTCTGTTTTAGTCCCACTGAATGAAGATAGTGGTGAGTCAAAAATTAAAACTAAAATTTTATTATTAAAAATTCACAAGACTAAATATGTGTATTCCTGCCAGCCCTGAGAACTGTTCTCCTTCAACCACTGGGTAAGTCACTAAGTCAATCTGTGGAATGGAGCCCGTGTTACCTGCACTATCTAATTCTCCAAGCCTCTCATGCGGAAGGATGTGTGGAATTCATAAGCCAAGGAAAGGGGGATTCTCCAGGCCACCTGAGAAGGAAAAGTCTTTTGGCTCTCAGATCTGAGCTTCTGGCTCTGATGGAAAGAGATGGGGGCCTAGGTGGGACAGAACCTGATGGGAATTCTCACCTCCAAGGGGACCTCTGTGATAGATACTTACCTAGATGTGAGAAACCAAGCTGCGCTGGAGGGGCTTGAGGTTCAGAACAATGCAAATTCAAGTCTGGAAATTTCCTCACAGGGGAAAGTGGATTAAAAGCCCATGCTGCGGGGCAGACTGTCTTCCAAATGTTTTACATGCATTCATTCACTTACTCTTCCCACAACCATCGATGTAAGCATTATTGTTATCCGTATGTCATAGATGATGAAACTGATGCTCAGAGAGGTCAATTAACGTGCCCCAGCTCACATAGGTAAGAGGCAGGGCTACAATCTGAGCTTAAGTTTAGTTGCTATGTGCTTCTACCCACATTTCTGGTGCCTGCAGACTGACTCCAGGATGCTGTGGCTCCTGGGGTGGGGTCCCCAAAGCAGGGGGCTCCTGGCCCTGCCCAGGCCTCAGCAGCATTGCTGAATGAACCCCCACCTACAGCTCCCTCCCAGCAGTTCTGAGGGAGAGCTGCTGGCGAGGTTCACAGCAGCTTAATTACAAAGTGATTTTAATTTGTTTTTGTTAATTGAAATCTCATTAAGCAAGTTATTTACTCTAGCATAGCTCAGGAGTCCACAATTCTATGGGTGAGGAGGCTAGAGGGGTTTCTAGAACTTGCCTTAATCTGGGGGTTGTCCTTCTTTGTCCTGTGACCTGTGTGCACATGCGCTTTCTGAGGAAGCCCTCCCAGCTGGCTGGGCACCCTTTCTCCTTCTCAGCCTATACTCCCCACCTGGAGTATATACCTATACACCACCTCAGGGCCCTGGGCCCCACCCGCCTTGCCCTGTACCCTGTAATGAAGAGAAAAGGTGAACCCCTGCCATCCCTCTGCAGTGTGTGTGCACCCAGGTGTGTGGCATGTGGTATAGACACATTTAGTATTCACCCATCTTATGCCAAGCACTATTCTAGGCATGAACTGGAGATGCTGGACACTTCTTAAGGGAGCTCTCTTTTGAACCCTGGACCTCACTGTTTCACCTGCTAAATATCCTGAGACCTCTTTCATCACCACATCTTATCATGGTGATCCCTTGCCATTTTCACCCTTTCCCGACTGTAAACTCCAGGAGGGCAGGGGCCACTCGGCTTCTTCATGGCTGGGGCCCTGGCCTAGCTGTGGGCATTCTCAGCTGGGTTTGGGGAGGACAATTCTTTATTGAATCAGACTGCTCTGGGAATTGAAAGCCGTTTAGCATTCCTGGACCTTGCTCCCAGTAATTGTGACAACTCCAATGTGCCCTCTGCACATTTCCACCCCCGAGTGGGAGGGCATTTTGAAACCAGTGCAAGGGCCCACATGTTGCCTGGCATGTGGTAGGTACTCCACGGGCATCTGAGTGGGTGACTGAGAGCATGTATGAGCTATGCCTCTGACCTGGTCCATGTCCCCATGGTGTGTGTGCATGACTGTGAAATGCGTATGTTGCTGCTCTGACCTCAGGGCACCAGCAGAAAGTTCTGGGCCCTACTGTGGGCTGGAGCCCCATTCTCTAGAGCTCTGTCTGCACCTAGTGTTTTCCCTGTCTCCCCTGGCTGCCTCTTCAAGGCCTCCACCACCCAGCTGCCTCCTCCTTTTGCCCCTGACTACAGCCACTTGGTAGTTTTCCAGGCCTGACATTTCAAACATGCAATGCCATATGTATTGCCACTCTCAGGTAATTATCACGTAAAATTAAGCTAGTCTTGTACATGAAACCAGCAATTAGCCAGGGATTGAAGGTCAGGGAGAGCTCGTTTATAGAGTCGCTAACAAAATGTTAAGTGGAAGTGTGTGTCAGATGGGCCAGGAGGCTGGATTAGCCGGGGTCGCAGCGGTGGGACTGGAGAGCCATGGAGACTCCTGGCTCTGCAGTGCTGGGCACAGCAGGAGGAGCTGGGGATTTATGGCTCACACTTTTCTCTTCCAGCTCTCAATCTGGGGCACAGCTTTGAAGGAAGGTTGCTAAGCCTGCTAAATCCTAGTGCACACCAACGCTGTTTTCCCATTCATCTGGAAACCTGGTAAGTCCTGCCTAAAAGCCTATGTGTCAATTTAACCTCCCGCCTGACTGCCCACAATCCCAGCATTTTACACTAGAGCCTTTCAGATCTGCTTTGCTTATGTGAAGACAGAATGATGTTTCAAGACTCAGAAACTTTGCACGTGTCATTCCCTTTGCTTGGAACACCTTTCCCTCTCTTCCAACACCCTTATGATTGGCCTGGAAATTTTCTATTTCCCATCTCAAAATCTCAGTCTTCAATTCTCCAGAAGATTTCCTAACCCCCTGCTCCCATTTATTCCAGAAAGAGTTATCTTTGCTTTTGTGCATGAGCAAATTCCACTGTTACTTATACTCTAGGGCAATTTATTGGTGATTTGTCTGTCTCCATTGGACTGTGAATTATTCATCTCTTCCTAGAAACCTGTAGCTGCTCAATAAATGTCTATGGAATAAATACAGAAATTATTCTTTTTTTCTCAGGCCTTGCTCAGATGTCACCTCCTCTGGGCAGCTTTCCTGGATTCCCTTCCCTGGTAGAATCAGTCATGCTTTCCAAGTTCCCATAGCACTTTATACACATCCTTATTACAGTATTTACCAAAATTGCTTCATATTTCACTATAGGTCTACCCAGGGCTACCACATCACACAACCCAGGGAACCATCCACGTTGAGCCAGGCAGTGTGTTCTCAATGAGAGATGGTGTCTGTACTTGCCCACTAGGCAGTGACCTTCTGCAAAGCCAAGATCCTGTGACTCTGCTAACAGCCTGCATATAATAAACGCTCATTGGCCACATTAGTGTCCATTCAGAGTAGGTATGCAACAAACGTGCAACAAACATGTTCTTAATTATTGAACAGGAACAGATGGTTTAGTGGAAACAGCTCAAGATTTGGACTCTGGGGACTTGGGTTCCAGTTTTGTGTTTGCCACTAGATTGCTGTGCAGCCTTAAGTCAATCACACTGCCTCTCTGGTCCTTATCTTTTTAAATCAGGTCACATGTGTCAAAGTTCTTGGGACAAAGAAGGTGTTCAATGCATGTGAGTTTCCCACTCCCCTTTTTTTCATCTGTAAGATGAGGAATTTTAAGATTCCTTGCGGTCTTGTAGAACTCTGGGTTCTCAGAACTAGAAGTTTTGAAAGGTATCTGGTGTAACCCCTGGCATCTTTGGTAGGTGATCATACAATTCTGGCTTGTACATCTCTAATAACAAGAAGCTCACTTCCTCACGAAGAAGGCTATTCTACTTTCAGACAGCTCTGGCTTAAATATAGTCCCATTATGTGACACTTGGCTTCCCAGAACTTCCATCATAAGCCCTGGTTTTGTATCATGTGGCCAGTCCCATTGCCCAAGACAATATTCATGGACAATGATCTGTTCAAGGCTCAAAGACACAGACCCACCACCAACTCTTACGTGACTTAATTTCAAGCCTTCTCAGCCTCTTGGTTACCCTCCCCTGAGTTTTCTCCCTTTCACCCAAAGACCTCTTGAGAGAGGGCATCAGAACAGGGTAAGACTATCACCTTCCTCTGCCTAGAACCTGTGTTTCTATTAAGAACCCAGGTTGGAACCAAAGATTATGCTACTGGGACTGCTCTCTCTCTCAACCCTAACAAGCATTTCACCATGGAAGGCAAAGCTGGGAATGAGCAGAATTCTTAAGTTTTATTTTACATTTTAAAAAGAACCACCCTAAACAAAGTCCAAATACAAATGACAAACTAGGGAAAAATTATTTGTAACTCATAAGAGGCAAAGGCCTAATTTCCTTAATAGATAAAGAGAATCCACAAATCAATATGAAAAAGATCCACAACCTAATAGAAATATGAGCAAAAGACAGCAGATCATTGACAGAAATAGACCTGAAAATTGTTCTTAAGTATATTCATTATAAGATAAATGCAAATTAAAACCACAAGTATTTTACATCTGTCACACTGACAAAGCTCAAAAAGTTTGATAACATTTTGTTGGTAAAGGGTGAGTAAACAGACACACTCCTATACTGCAAGGGCCAAACTGGTACAACCTCTCTGAAGACAAATGTGGCTTTATCTACCAACATTTACAAATGCACAGACACTTTGACTCAGTGATTGCACCTCTAGGAATGTATGTTGCAGATCCACTTACACATGCATAGCAACAAAGGCAGGGACTTTGGTTCATTTTGTTCACTACTCTTTCTCTGGCACCTGGATTGCTGCCCAGCACATAGTAGGTGGCAATAAATGTCTGTTGAATGAGTGTGAATGGCTGAATATGTAAAATGACATGTTCAAGGTTTTTCACTGCAAAATTCTTGGTAAAAGCCAAAGGCCAGAATAATGTTAAATGTCTAAGTATAATGGAATGGCATACTACTGTTAAAAAGATCAAGACAGTTCTCCATGTACTGATGTGTAGTGATCTCCGAGATATATCATTAAATGAGAAAGGTAAGGTGCAGAAAATGTGTGTAATAAAAATACAGTGGATATTTGCTTGTCTATGCATAGAGCATCTCTGGAAGGAAGCTCCCAAATGGTTACTGGGCTTGCTTCTAGGTAGAGGAACAGGTGGCCTCAGGCATGGAATGGGGGGTAGCTTTACTTTTCAGTGTATCTCTTAGATTCCTTTTTAATTTTAGATCATGTGAATGTACTACCTATTCAAATAAACAAATACAATTCAAAATTTAAACAGATTTGGGCCTGAGAATTAACCCTCTGCTTTGGGACCTGTTCATTTGTGTACACAACTATCTATCTGGCCATTTCGGAGCATGTATATGTATATGTGTGTGTGCATGTACATTTCCAATTTACTTTGTTCACAACTGTGATTTAGTTTTCCCAAATGAAACAGTTACAAGGCCTTCCCTTGTTCAATGGTCTTTAAGGGCTTCCTATGTCTGTGAAGTCCAAACTCCTTGTCCTGGATCTTGGAATCTGTTGTCTGAACCCAACCCACCTCCCACCACTCTTTTCACATAGTCTTTACCACAGAAAGATGGAGTTACCTGCCCTCTGCACGCCTAGCTGCCAATATGCACCTGCGCCTTGGTAAACTGAGAGGCCCTTCCCTTCCTTGCCACATCCAGTCATTCTCATTCTTCAAGGCCCACTGCCCTCCTCTTTTTCCAGGAGGGCTTGCATGATGTCTCAAGCTGGAGGTGGTCTCTCATTTTTATCTGCATCTCTCTTACTGCATTTACATTTCTTTTAACCTTACATTAAAGCCATTTTGTAGCTGAAAACTGTTCTCCTAAGCTATTGGAAGGAAGGCAGTATTCAAGTTTGATTCCTATTTGTACTGTCCTCAGAGTCCAATAAAACACCAACACATAGTAGGTATTCAAGAAATGCCGAAGGAATGGATATGCCTAAGTCTGGGTGGCAGGTGGGAAGTCTATCCTTGTATTGTCTGAGCCATTGTTATCATCTTCCTCATGATGGAGAAACGCCTTTTGCACACCTACTTGCACAGGGCCTGTGTGGGGCCTTTCGTATAGTGGCTTAGCATGAGGACACTGCAGCCCATCCACGCCCACCGGTCTGGCCACAAAAGAGCGGCCCAGACGTGACCAGACGATGAGGCAGCCACATTCCAGACGGATGAGGCATGCCTGGGAAGTCACATGTCTGGCTCACCAACCCACCTGCAGGCACTAAAGCTCTACCCACCTGCAGGCACTAAAGCTCTACCGACCATCAGGCCGACCTGGGGTTCAAATCCTCATGCTCCTTGTGTGACTGCACCAATGGCAACTCGCTGGTCTCTGGGTCCTCACCACACATAACATGGGAACTGCAAGTCCTATCTACGTGCTGCTGTGAGGACTGGAGAGGTCTGGTAGGTGCTTGCCAAGGGCCTGGCATCTGGCAGGTTATCAGGCGCTGATTACCTCAGAACCTGGGGCTGCCAAGCTGTAGACATGCAGGAAGCCACATCAGCCTGAGTTGAACCTAGAAAGGTAAATGTATTGCCAAAAACCCCATATGCCAAGCAGCACTTTCTTGCAAAGCCAAACGGAATTTTTTTGGCTCAACCACTGTTTGGGATGATTTTGCCACAGTTAACACTCTATTGGTGAGAAAGTCAAGACCTATCCAGGCTGTGGTATATACAGTGGATGCATGTGTGAATGGACTTGTGCACATATACACAGATACAAGGATGTGCAAACTTACCATGTAGAGGTGTGCACATATGTTCACATGCATGTGGGCTCCCCAACAGTCCTATAAGTGTGTCCACGTGTCCACACATGCATGTGTCGGCATACAGCCATTCATGCAATAGTGCTGGCATGGCCACCTACGCGGATTGGAACACACTACCTGAAGGAATACAGGCTGGTTAGAGAAATGATGAGAAAAGATGGAGCAAAAAAGTAAAAAGAAATGTAGAGACTAAAAATGTGGGGTAGGGGTGGGGGCAGAAGACACAGGGTGCAGGGCCTAAGAACATGGACTTTGAACTTCTCCTGCGTTTGAACCCTCCCCTGCTGATTCTTAGCTTGTGACCTTGGGCAGGTCATTCAACTTTTCTCTGCCCCCAGTTTCTCACCTTTAAAATGGGGATCAGAATGACAGCACATGCTGATCAGGACTATTTTACAGGTGTTTTAAGTCAGACTTTTAAATCAGTTAATACGTGTAAAGTGCTTAATGGGGCCTGGTACACAGTAAGGGCTTAAGAAGTGGGGGTGGGAGAGCTCCCAGCAGGCCTCTTTCCTCACCTTCCTCTCCCTCCCCTCTAGGATGTCACCTCCCAGCTTCTTTCCCTCCCTTCTCCCTCTGCTCACTTCTTGCTCCTCCACCCCACCCCGCCTCCCACAAGGCCCTGGTCTGTGCAAAAGCCAGGCTGGGAGCAGGCAATGCGTGCCATTGGCAGGGAAAGAGAGCCAAAGGGAGCAGGAGGAGGTGGAGACGCTGGCTCTGAAATGTTGCTTCTTTTTGCTGTTTCCCCAGCCATGCTCCCAGAGGCGGGAGGTTTGGGGGGGGCAGTGGGAGGACTCCAAAGAACAGACAATCCCAGCCATTCCCTGGTGGGCTGGGGGTCAGACCCCTCCTCACTCCATCTGCCTCTGCTGCAGCCGGTGCCATCCGGCCTGCCAGCCCGTCCAGCCCAGCAGGCTGGGATCCCAGGCCGTGCCAGCCCCGGCCCAGCTAGGGGTGGGAGTGGGCCACAGCCTGGGGTCTGTGAAGGGTTCTGCTGCTTTGTTTTATTTTTCCCTATCTCCTCTTTGCTTTCAGGGCCCTGGTCTCTCCCAGCCCTGGGGCTCTGGCTCCGTCCTGTGCCAGCCTCAGGCTGTCTCATCCATCCCTGCATCTCTGCCACCACCTGCCCGAG